TGTCGGAATCAAATATAGCCATCTAATTTTGCATATTATGACTTCATATGGACGGAGCAATCGTGGATTTGTATGAAATGTATATGTTTTTTTTTTTTTACTGACAGACACAAATCACCAGGACAGGAACACGCAAACAGAACTCACACTGTACCACACTCAAGGGTTTCAGGGAAATAGTAAATCAAAGTAAATCATTTTGTGAGTTTGAATGAATTTTGACACAATCAGTCGTTTTAAACAGTACCGCATTTTGTCAACTTAAGTCAACCGTGGCGCCGAAAGGGTTAATCTTTCTCACTTACTCACCAAAATTGCTAAAACTTGTTAATGATACTTGAAATTCAACAGGGAAAAACTGTTGTTAAAAAGCTAAATGCTAACTGCTAGTATAAAGTGTGTTGCTATGGTAACTAGCATAAACTAGCGCTAAAATTCCGGACGATCCAGACCCCGAAGCTCCGACAGTCGCCATTTTCCTCTGTTGTGGCACTGACGTCACGCCCGCAAGAAATCTGGGTAATACGCTTCAGTTTAGGGCGCACTGATGCTCCCTTAGCTGAAGTGCGGATTAAGTGCGTAGAGTGGACGCTCCAAAGTGCACATCGGGAGTATTGGGACATTCTATGCACTTAGCACCCTAGCAGGAAGTGCGGGATTTTGGACAGGGCCTAACACTGGCTTTCCTCTGGTGGAAAAACTAAGATGGCTCAAATCAGAACCAGGACCAGTACAGGACCCTGGATTCCCCGAGAACACACAGACTGCATCTCTCCACGTCAGAGCCTGGAGTGACTTCCTGGTTATTATTAAAGATCCATGGTCCACTGGTCGCACCTCTAGCACCTTTTATTACCACCGCAAAGTGCTCTGGGGCCGCCACGCTTATGAGGCATACAGCACATACAGGTCACCTTTCCATTGCACCTCAACACTCATCTACCTTTTAGGGCTGCACGGTATATCGAAAAAATATTGTTATTGCGATATTGGTGCGTGCGATATCCAAAATGCAAAAATATCCGCGATACAAAAAAAACCAATCAAAATTCAACAAGAACAACAAACAAACAAATGAACAAAAACGTATATACAGTGCCTTGCGAAAGTATTCGGCCCCTTGAACCTTTCAACATTTCGCTACATTTCAGTCTTCAAACATAAAGATATAAAATTTTAATTTTTTGTCATGAATCAACAACAAGTGGGACACAATCGTGAAGTGGAACGAAATGTATTGGATAATTTAAACTTTTTTAACAAATAAAAAACTGAAAAGTGGGACGTGCAATATTATTCGGCCCCTTTACTTTCAGTGCAGCAAACTCATTCCAGAAGTTCAGTGAGGATCTTTGAATGATCCCATGTTGTCCTAAATGACTGATGATGATAAATAGAATGCACCTGTGTGTAATCAAGTCTCCGTATAAATGCACCTGCTCTTTGATAGTCTCAGGGTTCTGTTTAAAGCGCAGAGAGAACCATGAAGACAAAGGAACACACCAGGCAGGTCCGAGATACTGTTGTGGAGAAGTTTAAAGCCAGATTTGGATACAAAAAGATTTCCCAAGCTTTAAACATCTCAAGGAGCACTGTGCAAGCAATTATATTGAAATGGAAGGAGTATCAGACCACTGCAAATCTACTAAGACCCAGCCGTCCCTCCAAACTTTCATCTCAAACAAGGAGAAGACTGATCAGAGATGCAGCCAAGAGGCCCATGATCACTCTGGATGAACTGCAGATAACTACAGCTGAGGTGGGAGAGTCTGTCCATAGGACAACAATAAGTCGTGCACAGCACAAATCTGGCCTTTATGGAAGAGTGGCCATTTCTCAAAGATATCCATAAAAAGTCTCTTAAAGTTTGCCACAAGCCACCTGGGAGACACACCAAACATGTGGAAGAAGGTGCTCTGGTCAGATTAAACCAAAATCAAACTTTTTGGCCACAATGCAAAACGATATGTTTGGCGTAAAAGCAACACAGCTCATCACCCTGAACACACCATCCCCACCTCAGCTGTAGTTATCTGCAGTTCATCCAGAGTGATCATGGGCCTCTTGACTGCATCTCTGATCAGTCTCCTTGTTTGAGATGAAAGTTTGGAGGGACGGCCGGGTCTTGGTAGATTTGCAGTGGTCTGATACTCCTTCCATTTCAATATAATTGCTTGCACAGTGCTCCTTGAGATGTTTAAAGCTTGGGAAATCTTTTTGTATCCAAATCCGGCTTTAAACTTCTCCACAACAGTATCTCGGACCTGCCTGGTGTGTTCCTTTGTCTTCATGGTTCTTTCTGTGCTTTAAACAGAATCCTGAGACTATCAAAGAGCAGGTGCATTTATACGGAGACTTGATAACACACAGGTGCATTCTATTTATCATCATCAGTCATTTAGGACAACATTGGATCATTCAAAGATCCTCACTGAACTTCTGGAGTGAGTTTGCTGCACTGAAAGTAAAGGGGCCGAATAATATTGCACGCCCCACTTTTTAGTTTTTTATTTGTTAAAAAAGTTTAAATTATCCAACAAATTTCATTCCACTTCACAATTGTGTCCCACTTGTTGTTGATTCATGACAAAAAATTTAAATTTAATATCTATATGTTTGAAGCCTGAAATGTGGCGAAATGTTGAAAGGTTCAAGGGTGCCGAATACTTTCGCAAGGCACTGTAAATATATGCATTTGAATGTTATTAATGTGCTTGTTTTTTGTTATTTGTCTCTTGCGTTTCAATGCAGATTGCAATTTTAGGTGAAAGAAGAAAAATATCGCAATACTAAACACTCATATCGAATATCGCACAAATATCCGATATCGTGCAGCCCTACAGCACATACAGGTCACTTTTCCATTGCACCTCGACACTACATCCACCTTTGTCCATCGCCTGTTTCCGTACGGCCACAAAAGCCAAAAAGATGTTTATTTTTCAGTCTATTAACTCAGCGTTGGGTTATTTTTGGGGCTGATTCCTCTAAATGAGTCATTAAGGCTTAATGGCAACTCTCTGAGCAGACGGGGAATTAAGAATAAGAAGAAAGACTGAACTCAACTCAATGTATTTTTGTACAGCCCTAAATCACAACAGCAGTCGTCTTCAGGGGACTTCACACAGTTGGTGATTCCTCAACAACAGATCAGAGAATCAAACAGTTCAAGCGCAGAAAATGCATTAATTAAAAACACACAGGAGCCAGTGGTGCATAAAGTGGGGAGACCAATGTCCATAAATGTAGTTTGTTTAAAAAAAGCTTCTACAGTTTCTTATCTCTGTGTATTCCTTGTGTGCCCTTTGCTAGTGTCCTATATGTGCACTGCAACACCGGAATTTCCCCAGTGTGGGATGAATAAAGTTTCTCTTATTGTATACACTGCAAAAAGTGATGAAAAATAACGAGAGAACATTCTGACTGAGCCTTAAAACACGATTTGCAAATGGGACAAAGCAAAATGATGTTGTTTTAAAAATTTACAAGAAATGTCTCCCTTGGAATGAGAAAATAAAACAGTTTCTAATTAAGATTAAATGGCTTTGTCCCATCGGAAATTCTTGTTTTAACACAGTCAGAATGTGTCAGATTAAGATAAAAACCACTCAATTCATGGAAATATTACCTCATAATTTATCATTTTTTGCAGTGTAGCTTTGAAGTCTTATGGGAGACGTTGCAATATCAACTTTTCACAACAAAAAGGTCCTGGGTTTGACTCCGCTCAGGTGCGGAGGTGGAACCGAACCATGCACCTTCAGTTGTAAAGTAATCGTTATACTGTAGCTTAAGGGCTAATTACTATAAATATTGATTTATGGTTCAATAAGTGGTGAATAAAACAGTATTTTTGCATCTCAGTGAGTATCGCCTGCACGTTTTAGCGTTTCTAGAAGGTTCAATGAGGCTAAACACTATTTTATTCTGCATATGGGCCTTTCAACAGAATTATACATAAATAACTAACAACTTAAATACTATCCTCCTGTTCTATGTCCGCGTCAGTTTCAACACAATCATTAATAATAATAATTTTCTGACGCAAAATGTGTTATCGTCACAAGCCTGTATTGTTTGCGATTTCTATTTCAAGCCAAGGCAAGTTTAATTGTATAGCACAGTTCATACACAGCTCAACGTGCTGAACAAAACAAGATAGAAACAGTCAAGGCATTAACAAAAATATCAATAATCACTGTACATTCAAAAGAGTAAAGATACAATCCTTCAGTTGTTTGCAGCTAAACACAACTGTTTTTAACCTGGATTTCAACATTGTCACATTTTAGAAGTCTCTCTCACATTTTCAGGAAGACTGTTGCAGATTTTAGCTGCATACATCTGAAACGCTATCTCCTCGTCTCAGGAAGACTGCTCGAGGCTTTAGCTGCATGAATCTGAAATGCTGCCTCCCCATGTTTAGTTCTGACTCTGAGTCCCAGCAGGAGGCCAGTCCCTGTGCTCCTCAGAGCCCGAGTTGGTTCATATGAATAACAATACTTATAATAATAATAATAATAATAATAATAATAATAATAATAATAATAATACATGTTACTTATATTGCATCTTAGATTTCCAGGAAACCGCAAAGTGCTGCAGATTAAAATACAAAACCACAAAAAACAGAACAAAGCAAAAGCATCAGAAGTAAATAAATACATCAAAAAGAAACATAAAGTCTGTATATAGCACTAACATGTCACAGATGTACTTTGGTTCGAGACCAGGGAGAGACTTGTAACAAACAGAGCTGATTTAAAGTCTATCACTAGTATTTATTTTCAATTCCTCACATTCAACAACTACAGTCTGCTGTGATCGCCCCAAGACCACAACCGCGCTCACTCATCTTTATCGCGCTGAAACTGAAGCGTCTCTTGTTACATAACTTTACATCAAACATGATCCAAGCCAAAGCCAAAGCGCGCGCGGAGCTTAAAATCCTCAAAAGTCTTAAAATACAAACCTATAAAAAGCGACAGAACGGGGCTCACCTGCATGACTGCTGCTGCTTCTGCTGCTGCTGCGGGAGCGTGATGTGACGTGACGTGAGGCGCGCGAGGACTGTCCCTCACGACGCGCGAGGAGCGGAGGAATGCGCGCGCTCACACATGGTCTTCTCCCACACCGGAGAGAGAGAGAGAGAGAGAGAGAGAGAGAGATAGAAGGAGGGGCAGGGGCAAGGGAGAGGAAGAGGGAGAGAAAGATGGAGGGAAAGAGAGAGGGAGGGGCATGGGAGAGGGAGGGAGAAAAGAGAGAGAAAGAGGCAAAGAGAGAGAGGGGCAGGGGAGAAAAGAGAGAAAGAGGGAGGTATAGTGAGGGATTGTGAAAGAGAGAGAGAGAGGGAGGGAGGGGCAGGGGAGAGGGTGAGAGAGGAAAAGGGTGAGAAAGAGAGAGAGAGGGAGGGGCATAGGAGAGGGAGGGCGAGGGAGAAAATAGAGAGTAAGATAGAGGGGTAGTGAGCGAGAGGGAGAGAAGGGGGAGAGGGAAAGAAAGAGGGGTGAGAGAGAGATGCATAGAAAGGCGCTTGTCCAAAGGCGTTCTACATATGTTCGCTTTTCCATTGAGCTGCTGTGACCAAAATAGAAACAGCTCAATAAGACAAATCTAGTTTATCTGTATAGCACAGTTCATACACAAGGCAACTCAAAGTTATGCACAAAACAAGAACAAAAACATTGTCAGAGAAGAAGCCTGTCTCAGGAAGACTGCTCGAGGCTTTAGCTGCATGAATCTGAAATGCTGCCTCCCCATGTTTAGTTCTGACTCTGAGTCCCAGCAGGAGGCCAGTCCCTGTGCTCCTCAGAGTCCCAGCAGGAGGCCAGTCCCTGTGCCCCTCAGAGTCCCAGCAGGAGGCCAGTCCCTGTGCTCCTCAGAGTGTGAGTTGGTTCATATGGCAGTAACATGTCACAGATGTACTTTGGTGCGAGGCCATGGGGTTGTACAAAGCAGTTCCAAAGTCTCAGTGGATTTTGCATGTTCTCTCTGTGTCGGCGTAGGTTTCCTCTGGGTGCTCCGGTTTCCCCTACTACTAAAAATAGGTACAGTAGGTAATGTTCTCCAGCTCTACACTGACCACGGCCCCGGTCGAAGACAGAATATTATATTTACTGGCGACAAAGAGATGACAAGCCTCCGCCGCAGCGTTCAAACAGATTTTGTGGAATTATTAAACTCAGCCCAAAGCATCACAGCTGTCGTCAGTCCAGATTTTTAATAAAAGACGTCACGAGCCTCAGAAACATGTTGTGTACGTTTGAGAATCAGTCAGAAGCTTCATCTTTCCCAAATCAATGAAACACAGTCGACAAACCACGAGAGCTCTGACGTGACGGCGAGATTCTTTCGGGAGTTCTTGTTATTGTGCTTTTTATGCTCATTGTTGCCGCTCACAACCGGGAGACATTCAGGAGCAACCGGTGGAGAATTAATTTCATAAAACAGCCGCACTGAGAGGATTCGTGGGAGAATAAACAAGAATATTTAAGTATGTCTGTGATGATAAAAATGATTAAAAAAATAACACTGGGTAACAACTATTTTTTTTTGAAAATAGTCCAGGGTTTTCCAGCTGAATAATTTTGATGCTCTGAGTCCAAAAATGACCTTGGTTTTGCTCAATCAGTTCAGGATTTTTTGCTACAGAAATATTTTTTTAAATCGATTTTGCGTAAAAAACACATTTCTGGGGATCATCAGCTGAGAAACCCTTGACGTTTTTTCCGTTTTCCTCAAGAAATAAAAGTCAACGTATCCAAAGTCATTCAGTTTTTATTTACTCCATTAAATTTGATAAGCAGAATTCATAATAACGTAGACGTACGTAATCCGTAACACTATGGCTGTATCTCAAAAAGTTGACCTGACAGAGCAAAATGCATGTGATATTTGGACTCAGAACACCAAAATTAGTCTAAATCAGTTGAGAAACCCCTGACCATTTTTTGGCTGTCAACTTGTGTAATACATGATACTTCTGATACTACGTTTATATTGCACCTTACATTTCTAGGAAACCTCAAAGTGCTACAGTTTAAAATATTATACAACAAATGAAAACATCAAAACTACATACAATAGCTAATGAGGTTCTCCAGGATCAAATTGAGAGTTGGTACTAACCCTATTTTAGTACCAACTTTCATGTTGATGGGGGATTTTTTTTTTTCCTGAGACACCATTTGTTAATAACAGCTCTGTACAGGTCTCCAGGGCCTCGCACCAAAGTCTATCTGTGACATGTTTGTGCGATATGAACCAACTCGGACTCTGAGGAGCATGGACTGGCCTCCTGTTGGGACTCTGAGGAGCACAGGGACTGGCCTCCTGTTGGGACTCTAGGAGCACAGGGACTGGCGTCCTGTTGGGACTCTGAGGAGCACAGGGACTGGCCTCCTGCTGGTAACTCTGAGGAGCACAGGGACTGGCCTCCTGCTGGTGACTCTGAGGAGCACAGGGACTGGCCTCCTGCTGGGACTCTGAGGAGCACAGGGACTGGCCTCCTGCTGGTGACTCTGAGGAGCACAGGGACTGGCCTCCTGCTGGTGACTCTGAGGAGCACAGGGACTGGCCTCCTGTTGGGACTCTGAGGAGCACAGGGACAGGCCTCCTGCTGGTGACTCTGAGGAGCACAGGGACTGGCCTCCTGCTGGTGACTCTGAGGAGCACAGGCACTGGCGTCCTACTGGTGACTCTGAGGAGCACAGGGACTGGCCTCCTGCTGGTGACTCTGAGGAGCACAGGGACTGGCCTCCTGCTGGGACTCAGAGTCAGGACTAAACATGGGAAGGCTGCATTTCAGATTTATGCAGCTGAAATCTCAAACCGTCTTCCTGAAAATGTGAGACAGGCTTCCACTATCCAGGTGCATACAACTGAAGGATTGTACTGTGATTTGAGTTTAGCACTTTGAGTTGCCTTGTGTTTGAACCGTGCTACACAATTAAACTTGCCTAACCGCACTGTATGATGGAGCTTTCGCGAAAGTTCACCGTGGTAGACCCGGCTGTTGCTGCCAGGCCACAGGCTGCTCTTCCTCGACTCATCAATACCAGCAACGCCCACACCCAGTCAACCAATAACCACCAGGACAGCAAGTTAAAAGCCGGAGACGCCCACTTCCCGATCTTCTGAAGTCTGCAAACTTCTGAAGCCTGCAAGGTGCATGTCGCTAAACGCTCCTGTTCGCAAATGCATGCGTTGTTCTGGAGGGGTCGCTTCTGCTCACGTGTTGCTCGTGCGCGTGGCCCGGCTGTCCTCAGTCTGGCTGCTCGTGGTCTGCTCCTCCTCCGCGTCCCTGCACCTGCTGTGGTTCGCATATCCCCACTGCTCTCCTCCTCTGCGGGCTCTTCTGCGGGCTGCTCCGCGGGGCCCCTCCGCGGTTCTGTGCTGCTCGTTCCTCGTGGTCTGCTGCCGCGCGCAGACGGTCTGGCGGTGCTGTGCGTGTCCCTGCCTCCGACTGGCGGTGCCGCGTTGTCCCGTTGCTTCCCAAGTCTCCTGGCATGTGAGTACAGTGAGTGTGCCGACCGCGGACAGTTTAATCCCGGAGTCTAGGCTGCAGGCGGCTGGTTTTTGCCCTACGCACTTGACTGCAGGCGTCAGTCTTCGCCCGTGCTTGGTCTGCAGGCTCCGTTTTACACGTGTTGAGCTAACTGAGGGTCAATGCATCTTAAATGGCATCAATCTCCAATGTCTGAGGGATATAAGAGGAGCAATGTGCATTAATTCAGATTCATGTTCTGCCACTTGCAGTAAAACCACGTTGGAAAAAATGTGCAAAGACTACCCCATCGTGCTCCAGACGGCACACACAGAACTCTTGCACGGCGCCATCTTTACAGCATCAATCTCATTACTCGCAAGTCACTATTGTTAAATTATGTATTTAAATTCGTCTATCTGCAGGAGGAAGGAGGGGCCATGCATTTAAATAGCTAGGTCACTAGTATTAAACTGGGTAACTAAACTGCAGTTGTTGCATTTCGAAAGTGCAGCAGAAAGAAAAGGGGCCCAATGTGAATATGCAATGGGTTTGAAGTGGAGCTGTAGCTATGAACGCATGGATCAGTGATCGTTCATGCGTATCTGCCATAACCAAAGCAGCAAGATGGCTCCAGGGGACATCTGTTTCTCGCATGGGAATGTTTCGGATTCGGGTTGATTTATTTCCTCAGGCTCTTAAACAACCGCTGCTGCGGTCCCTGCTGCCGTTCCTACTGATGCCTGATCCCGCTGCTGCCTATTCCTGCTGCTGCCTGTCCCTGCTGCCTGCTCCTGCTGCTCCTACTACTACATGTGCCGCTGCTGCTGTTCCTGCCGCTGCCGCTCCGCAGGCTCCCAGGCTGCACCTATCTCTACGGCTCGGCTCTGGCGTGACACGTCTGTTGTTCGTATGAATTGCATTGTGCTGCTGCTGCTTGCTGCTTCTGCTGCCGCTACTGCTGCTATTGCTGCCGCTGCTGCTTCATACTGCATCTGCTGCCGTGCTGCTGCTGCTTCTTTACTTTGACACCTCTCTTCACTGCGCATCTCTTTTACTGAAACACTAAACAGCTTCAACATATTCTACTGCGGTGGCTTGATACAGGATTATTGCTGTTATTATCTACGGATGCTGCAACCGCTGCTGCTGCTGCTGCTTCATGCTGCTACCGTTACTGCTGCCGCTGCTGCTTCATACTGCATCTGCTGCCGTGCTGCTGCTGCTTCATGTACTTGACATCTCTCTTCACTTCGCATCTCTTTTACTGAAACACTAAACAGCTACAACAATATTCTACTGCTCTGGCTTTGATACAGGATTATGGCTGTTATTATCTACGGATGCTGCAACCGCTGCTGCTTCATACTGCTACTGCTGCTACTGCTAATGCTGCTTCTGCTGCTTCATACTGCTACCGTTACTGCTGCTGCTACTGCTGCGCTGCTGCTGCTGCTTCATGTACTTTGACATCCCTCTTCACTTCGCATCTCTTTTACTGAAACACTAAACGGCTACAAC